CCTTGACTTCCTGGGCTAACATAAATCCTCCTGTTTCAGTCTCCCAGACAGCTGGGACTACAGGCATGGGCCACCAAACCCAGCTAATATTTAAATTTTTTTGGTAGAGATAAGGTCCCAGTATATTTCCCAGACTGATCTTGAACCCCTGGGCTCAAGTGATCCTCATGCATCAGACTTCCAAAGTGCTGGGATTATAGGTGTGAACCACCATGCCCAGCATTAAGAGTTCTTTATACAGCATGAATACATGCATTTTTTTTCAGATATATTACTTAGAAATATCTCCTCCCCCTCTGTGCATGTCTTTTCATTTTCTTAATGTTTTTTAAATTTTGATGTTCAATTTATCATGAGTTTTCATTCATGCACTGTGCTTTTAATGTCATTATCTTGACATTTTTAACCCCAAATCACAAATATTTTCTTCTATGCTTACCTGTTATACTTCAGATTGTGATCCACTTTGAATTAATTTTTGTATAAGGTATGAGGTAAGAATTCAAGTTCATTTTTTTTTCACATTTGGATATCCAACTGTTCCAGCACTATATGAAAAGATTATCCTTTTTCCATTGAATTGCCTTGGCACTTTTGTAGCAAATCAAGTGACCATAAATGTGTGAGCTTATTTTTAGGTTCTCTATTATGTTTCATTATGCCAGTACTATACACCTTTTTGATTACTGTATATTTATAGCAAGTATTCAAATTACATAATGTTAATCCTCCAACTTCTAGCTTTACTCAAAATATTTGAAATATTCTTGGTCTTTTCTATTCCTCTATAAGTTTAAGGGTAAGCTTGTAAATTTCAACAAAAAGCCTACCAGAATTTTGATAGGGATGTTCCAGAACCTACAGATCAATTTGGGGAGAACTGGTATTCCAACAATGTTGAGGCTTCCAACCATTAACATAGTTTATCTCTCCATTTGTTCAGATATTCCTTAATTTATCTTAGCAGTGTTCTGTAGCTGTCATCTTCCTCTGGTTAACTCCAAGACTTGTGAAATGGTTGTTTTTGACAACTGCATTTGCTTTTTAATATTTTATTTTGAGAGGATTAATCAATCTCTTCATATTAGCATAGTCAGAAGTCCACGAGCTGTTTTTGAGAGTTGCAGATGCAGCAACTTCTCTTCATTAATTCCTGCACTAATATACATTTTGGATTACCATTATTTTTGATAGCCCTTCTACATTTGTGGTTGGAGTTTCAGTTGGAGATTTGCAAGAGAAGGAAAATGCAAACTCTGCACTGCCATATTACAACAGCGATAAGTAGTTTTCAATAGATCGCTTACTTTATTTGGAATTGGTCAGAAAAAAAGTTAATCTTTGCATTATTACCAAATAAAAGCATGGATTCTCAAGCCTGACTACCTGTACTGAAATCCTAATTCTATTCTTGTGATTGAGAAAGTAGTTTCACCCTTCTTTGACTTAGTTTCCTGATCCATAAAACGGCAAGAACAGAAGGGTATACCTTAGAGAGTTATTGTGAGAATTAAATGAGTTTTATGAAGTAACTCAGAAGACAACCTGCACACAGTAAATTTTAAGTATTAGTTCATTTTTCATGTTTGAAAATGTTTCACTATTTGTACACTGACATATCTGACTTACAATAAGACTCACAGGCATATGAAAAAAATGCTCTCATAACATTTTAAGTGAAAAGACAGATTAGTAAGTAGATTGTATACATGACTGCAATTATGTAATAAATAAGGATATAGGCAAAACCTGGAAAGGAACATAGAAAATTAAGATACCTGTTCTGTGGTGACAAGATTATGGGGAACTTTCATGTTAAGTATTTTCCACATTTTTTGGAATTTTTTTGGAAATAACATTTTTAAAACATACAAATTATAACTTTTCTTAATTAATTTTACTCACTGGCATAAATGGCTAACTTTAAAAAATGTGTTAAGAGATTGGACAAGAAAAAAATATATACATATATAGACACACACACACACACACACACACTTTGTTTTTGAGAAGTATTCTCACTCTGTCGCCTAGTCTGAAGTGCAGTGGTGTGATCTCAGCTCACTGCTACCTCTGCCTCCCGGGTTCAAGTGATTCTCCTTCCTCAGCCTCCTGAGTAGCTGGACTACAGGCATGTGCCACCAGACCGGTTTAATTTTTATATTTTTAGTAGAGATAGGGTTTCTCCATGTTGGCCAGGCTGATTTTGAACTCCCAATCTCAGGAGATCTGCTCACCTTGGTCTCCTGAAGTGCTGGGATTAGAGGCGTGAGCCACCATGCCTGGCCTGCAATGAATTATCTTTTAATAAAAAGTAGGGCTTATAAGACTTATACAAATGTCATCTAATTATTAAAAATTTCTTTAAATGTTTTCATTTTTGGAATTTAAAAGTGTGAAAATCTATTAATATATATCTTTCAAAATTAACCTAATAATTGCTTTTTGACTTCTATATCTACAATTCTGTCAAGAAGAAATCTAGTCCGCTTCAAGCTAGTTCTCAATGGAATAGTTGGTGTAGCAATGGCAAATGCTTCTGTGGTTATCCTTGGGGAAAAGACACACTTCAAACCAAATTGAAAAATGAAAAAATGGAAAGTGAAGATGTACAGTGAAGTTGAATTTATCTTTACTGAGATGGACTGAGAATTAAAAAGGGGGAGGAAGACAGAATTAAGAAGAGAGAGAAGGAAAAATTGAATAAAAGTTTGAGAAACAGAGCAGAGGTTCAAATGGAAATACAGATAACGGATTTCCCCCATTTCTCCAGGAATAAATCAAGGAGGCTTCACTTTGTATACTAAACCTAAGTATGTCCCTTTCTCATGGATGTATTAGACTGCAACACAATTGTAATTAAATGAGAATATTTGAAATATTCTCTCTAAATAGATATTTTGGATAAACTCAGCAGAAAACGTATGGCTAACAAGAAATTAAACCAATAATTGAATGTAAAAATTTGATCTACATTCAATTTGATTATTTTCCAATAAAATTTTTCTTAAAATGTAATAACATGTTTTAGTAGGTAGTTTGCTTAGAAATTATACATAAAGTGGCTTTATAGAGTTTAGTTTCTTTTTTTTTTTAACCCCAAGGTAACTCAACGGATTTTTAAAATTCTGTCTTATAGGGTAAAAGGACATTAAATTTTTAAATCAAATTAGTCAACACACAAAATTACAATTATCTGACCTGCTTGGATAAAGTTCAAATACTGGTAGTCCTATTTCAGTGGAAATAACTGTTACACAATAAAGTTCATGCACTATTCATGGCTTTAAAAATAAGTTTTTATTACTTACCAGTCAGCCACTTTCTACAATATTTGTATATGTTAGCTTTATAAGACTTGATGGAGAGTATTCTTTCTCAAGTAGTTTTCAACTAGACAGTCATTTTTTTAACGGCTTAGAAAACAAGCAGTCATTTAAAAATGTTTTAAATACTTATTTAGCATTTTAAATGCTAAATAATCATGGTAAAAATAGAGAAGTACAGAGCTATATGAAAAACAAAAAGGAAGAGTCTCTATTTTACAAGTCATGGTCTTTCAGTCTATTACTGAAATAACTAATAATTGAACATATTTTTATTGGCAGAAAATGCAATTATCCAGCCTTTCTTATTTAAATGTAGTAAGTAGAATTATTAAAAATTCTGGGCTGGGCATAGTGGCTCACAACGCCAGGCAAGGTGGGTCATGCCTATAATCTTAGCACTTTGGGAGGCAGAGGCAAGCAGATTGATTGAGGTCAGAGTTCTAGACCAGCTCGGCTAACACAGTGAAATCCTGTTTCTACTAAAAATATAAACATTAGCCAGGTGTGGTGGTGTGCACCTGTAGTCCCAGCTACTCAGGAGGCCGAGGCAGGAGAACTGTTTGAACCTAGGAGGCAGAGGTTACAGTGGGTGGAGACTGTGCCACTGCACTCCAGCCTGGGCAAGAGAGCGAGACTGTATCAAAACAAACTTCTGGTTAATATTAGGATTTTTACAACTGCTTGTTAGGAATTAGCACAAGAAATGCAGAATGATGGCAATTTCAGATACTAAGTGGAAAAATAATTCCTTTAAGTATTTGAGATTTTGTTCATGGATATGCCTACCTCTCAGTTCAATACGTGATTCTGTATTCAAGCTAGAAATTAGGCTGAGGTGGTTTCTTTAGATTATCACCTACCCCTGGTATCATTTCTAGCCATTATGAGCTCTCCTTTGTGACCATGGACCAGCTGTTACAATTTCTCCAAGTTTGGCCTAATTATCCCTGTTCCTGCCAAGGGCCAGCCTTAACTTGGCCTGAACTTACCCATCCAACACAGGGTAATTATGAATATATGAAAGAAAAGACTAAGAAAGAGGAAAAAATGGTGATATGACTTCAGTGTTGGTCTCCTCCAAATCTCAGGTTGAAATGTGATTCTCAATGTTGGATGTGGGGCCTGGTGGGAGGTGACTGGATCATGGGGGCAGGCTGTTCATGAATCGTTTAGCACCATCCCCTTGATGGTAAGTGAGTTCTCAGTGAGATCTGGTTGTTCAAAAGTGTTTGCACCTCCCCTGTCTCTCCTGTGCCCTTTCACCTTTTGCCATGATTAAAAGCTTCCTGAGACTCTCACCAGAAGCAGATGCTGACACCACACTTCCTGTATGGCCTGCAGAACCATAAGCTAAAATAAATTCATTTTCTTTGTAAATTATCCAGTCTCGGGTATTCCTTTAGAGCAACCCAAAAAAAGACTAATAAGAATGGAATGTGAAAAAGTAACAGAGGCTCCAAAAAAAATGGGACAAAGAATAAAAAAAGATAAGCAAAACTGTCTCTTCAGAAGACTCCTATCAGATTGTTGTAACAAAGAATTGTGTATATCATATAAGCAACATAACTCATGAGAAAGACTATCAAACAAAAATATAAAGCTATACCCACAATTGCTATCAGTGTTGAACATGTAGCATATACTCAATTAATATGAGAAGAAATCACTCACCTTATCAAGTTCACTTGTCAGCTTTTTATTTTCTTCAGTTAACAACACTTTTTCTCGTTCATACTGTTGTTTGAACTCACTTTCAAATTCTTCCCTTTCGCTTTGACTAACACAATTCAAAACACAAAAGGAAAAAAAGAGAATTAAAGGTTAACTGGAAACTTGAATCATTTTTCCAATAATCATATAAAACATAAATGTCAGATTGAACTGCAGAAATACTGTCCCCATAGAATATAGCTTGATTATATGCAATGACAGGCCTGGTGAAAGCACTTTCCAGGAATTTATATTACGATAATACTGATTTGTTTATTGATTCATTTAACAAATATTTATGGAGTGCTTACTAGCTGCCAAGGAATTATTGTAGGTCTTGACAGCTACTACTGTCATGGAGCTTATATTCTGGTAGAGGCAGACTGCCAATGAACAGTGAGTAAAATGAAATAATTTCAGATAAGTTCTACATTTTATATATATATGTGTGTGTGTGTGTGTGTATATATATGTGGTAATGCAATAAATAGTATTTGGTTGGCAGAGGGTGGCTACTTTAGATTATATATAGTCAGAGAAGGTCTCATCAAGGTTGATAAAGTACCAAAATGAAAATAATAATTGCCATCTGCTTCACATTCATCTTGTTCTATCCAAAGGCAAATTAGTTTGAGACCAAATTAGACAATTTTCTTTGTGTATTTCCACCACAGTATTCTTACAAAATACAAAGTTGCTAAGCCCTTATTTAATATTAGGCCAGAGTCAATTTCTAGTGTTATCAATTTGATTAATAATATTCCAAACATTTTGTTCATAATTAGCATTTATATCTGGGTTCAGAAATTTAAATAATTTCGGTTTTATAGAAAAGTTACAAGAATAGTACAAAGAATTCCTGTATCCTCTTAACTCAGATTCCCCAATTATTAATATTTTACTACATTTTCTCCATTATTGTGTATGTACTGATTTCATTAGCGTTCCTCAGAACCACTGAGAAGCAGCTAGCTGCAGATATTGTGCCTTATTCCCCGTAAATACCCCAGTTTATATCTCTCAAAGTCCAAGGACACTCTGCCATATCCACTAAGCAATCCTCTCAATTTAAAAACATCAGTATTACTAGAATCAACATTACTTGAACACTACCATCTGAATTCACAGACCCAATTCAAGTTATCCCAAGTGTCTCCTTTTCTTATGTAGTCCAGGATCCAACTGAGAAACATGAGTTGCATTTAGTAGTCATGTCTCTACATTTCCTTTGGTCTAGAACAGTTCTTCAGTCTTCCCTCTCTTACAACAGTTTTATAAAGGTATAGGTCTCTAATTGTGTACAGTAACACTCAACCTGGGACCATCTGAGGTTTATGACTATTCTCAAAGAATTCATTTTTGGCTGGAATGCTGCAAGAACAATGTTTCTTGGTGGATCCCATCAGAAGGTGTAAAATGATCTGCACAACATTGACCAAACCTCTTAGGCTAAGAGTGTGGATTCAGAATGAGTAGAGCCCCCGAGAAAGAAAAGAAACTTTTTATTTGAGAAATGTGAAACCCATTAAATTAGTAGGGCCCGAAAGGCAATGAAATGTGACTACAGTAACATTTCATTCCCCCACTTGAGTTATCTATCAGCAATGTGAACTCCAGAGTGAGTGTCACTAATAGCTATAAATTAACCCAACAATGCCGTATTCTGGACACCATAACTCATACCCTACAGTTCAATAATGTACAGCCAATCGTTAACCAATGTTATTTCTGCAAACCAATGAGAATTCCTGACAAAAGATTTTTGTACTTCCCCCCCTCCTGATTTATCTCTCTTTAAAAACATGACCCTCTTTTTTGTTCTCTGGAGTACTTCTTTGTGTTTCCTGAGCTGCAGTCCTTAACCTTGGCCCAAATAAACTCTATATTAATTTTGCCTCAGTTTCTGTCTTTTGGACATATTGGAACCTTTGGGCAGCAAAAGACAGTGCTGAGAACTCTGAACCCTCATATCCCTTCAAACTCTGCAGGTAGAAGCAATCTCATCCCTCTCCCCACAGCAGCTATAACCTGAGGCAACCACCATTTTTTTTTTTTTTTTTGCATAAATCATTCATTAACTTCACCTGAAACAGTTACCTCAAAAGGGGAGGCCAAGTACCTTTAACACCTGCCTAATCACTTGTCATCGTCTTCAGGCCTAAGATGACAGTTAAGATCACAGCAGAGACTAGATATAAAAGCAATGAAGGTATTAAAGGATTTGGCCAATTTATATTGGAAGGAGTATGGGTAGCATATAGAAATGAACTCTAAGAGCTGAAAAAGAAAATAAATCTGAGGAATGTGAGACCATTTAAACTATCTGGCCCAGAGAGGTATTTAAAATGTGAGAGCAGTTACCATCTCACTCCCACCTTGAGCTAAATAATCACCTCTTGAGGCCACTTGCTATGTGGGCTCTAAACTGATGACAAGTATGTCATAAAATGCCATACACTGGACAACCGTGACTCATACTCTATAGCTGAACAATGAATAGCCAATCACTAATCAATTTTATTTTGTAAACCAATGAAAATTTCTGTCAAGCAACTTGGTATCAGCCCAGTTCCTGTCTCCCTTTGCCTTTAAAAACCTATTTGTAACAAAAACCTAATGTAGCATTCCTCAAGGTAATCTGGAAGTATGTCCCTGGCAGCTGTCCTCACTTTGGCTCAAGCAAACTCTTTAAATATATCCTGTGCCTCAGCTTCCTCCTTCAGGTCAGCAGGATGTTACTCCAAGGTGGATAAATAAAAAAATTAAATACAGGTAAATTTATCAAATGCACATACTCATCTAGGATTTGTGGTTTAATGTGTTGACTAAATATTCAGGTGTAGTTTTTCACTACTAGGCTGAGTAACTAAAGCTTTGACTTTGGACCCAAAAGTGGCCTAGAGACAATTAGTTCGAGATATGTAACTTACCTGGCATAAAGACTCTACTGGCTTAGGGAGATGAGAATGTTAGAGTGGACCTATTATGTGCAACCTGTTCAGCCACCCACAAAGCCACCCGCTTCAGAACACCCAGAAAGCACTCCTTTCACCAAGGCATTAATAAATACATTAGTGAGAGGGCACGCTAGCAGCCTGGAGAAACACTAATGGTAGATGTCCTCAGATGACAGTCTGCAAATGACAGCGGAAAATGCCAGAATGGAATTGTACTGCCTGATTTAATTGAAAATAACAGTATTCCAGATTGGCTGTCGTACCATCTGCTTTATTTACTTACAGCCTGATGCTTCCAAATCCCTTAAAAATCCATTTCCCTTAAAAATCACACTCATTTAATTCTAATGAATTCAATGAATGTATGCTTAATAACACCTATTTGTGTTTCATTTGGAAATCTGAGGAAAACATCTGTGATTTGTAGACTTCCTGTGCTCACCTTATTTGACTATGTATAATAATTAAATAAGGTGAAACAAGGAGGTCAGAAAAAGAGGAGGATATATGAACCACAAAATGATTCCTTGTTCTCAACTCTAGACTGTATTAAAAGTTCAATTAAATTTCCAACAGTTCTATCAGTATTTCAGCCCTTCCTTCTTACATCTACTTACATACACATTTACTATTTTAATATTACAAAGCTTACTTAAAGTGACAGTTCTATGCGGCATGACTTATTTACCCTCAGAAGTAAACATAGTTTTAATAAAATTTAAAACAATCTTTTAAGGGAAAAAGGAGAATAAGGTTTTTTGTTTGTTTGTTTGCTGTCGAGACAGAGTCTCACTCTGTAGCCCAGGGGTGCGATCTCAGATCTCTGCAACCTCTGCCTCCCAGGTTCAAGCAATTCTCCAGCTGTAGCTGTGGGACTACAGGCATGCGCCACTGCATCTGGCTAATTTTTGTATTTTTAGAAGAGATGGGGTTTTCCAATATTGACCAGGCTGGTCTCGAACTCCTGACCTCAGGTGATCCGCCCGCCTTGGCCTCCCAAAATGCTGGGATTACACACGTGAGCCACTATGCCCTAGCCAGGAATAAGTTTTTGAGGACTATATTATTATGTGACAAACAGGCTTATATCTATAGCAATTTGGTAGATGCTACAGGATGTTAGCAATAAATGAAATTCCATGTGGATCTGTTCTGGGTAATTTTATATGACTGCTTTCAGGTGAACAAAGAATATAAGTAATGGTTGATGTTAAAAGTGTAATCTTAAAAATCTCCTACATAACATTACTGAAGAGAAATTATAATTTAAATGACACATTTAAGGAAAATAAACCATCTTCCATATCCAATCAAATGTATCACATCACTATTATCTATAGACAAATGTTAAATTTAGTTATGTTTAGGAACCTTTTCTCCTGACACAGAAGCAACTTCAATAACAAAATACAAAAAAAACTGCAAAGACTTTCAGAAAAATATGTACACAAATAGAGTAAAATTTTCATGTAAGACCACTCTTTTTCCTGTAAGCATTAAACAAGCTTAAGTCTATACCACATTAAAAACAGGCAAACAAACTCTCCCCATACCCTGTGTCACAATTCATTTCCTATTTTCCTTGTCTTCCCATCTGCTGGTAAGTATCTTGAAGCAGTTTCTGGAACCACTTTTTCATCACTTTGGTGCTCCCCACCACACCAAAATCTGGCTTCTGCCTCCACCATCTCAAGAAAGCTGCTCTCTCAAAACAACACTGGCCAGACTGTGATTACATCTAATCTGCTGGCTGCGTTAACAGTGTTGTCCATTCTTGCTCTCCTGATACGCTGCTGGCTTTGACTTCAGGGATCCTATGCCTCCTAGTTTTCAGTCTACACTCCTAGATTCTTTTCAGCTGCCTTTGTGACTCTTCTGTCCTTCCTGTAAATACCAATGCTCCTCAGTGTTGTCTTAGGTGCTGTCTCTTCTCTCTACAGATGCTGCCTGACACGGCCTGGTTTTAATTATGCATTCAGCAGATGATCTCTGAATCTACCTTTGAAGCTTTTGTGGCCTTCAAACTGCTGACTTGACATCTCCACAAAAACGTCTCCCACTGCTAGTTCAATGTGCCCAACTCAACAAGAGAGCTCAACACATAAACAAGTTCCCATCACCCCTATCTAGCTTTACCTATGCCCATAAACTCTACTTTCTCTTCTGATAGGTTAAAAAAAAAAAACAGAATTGAATAGGCCAATCCCTTCATTATGAACATCCTCAAGTACTTTGCTCTAGTACCTTCCTCCTCCCTGCTGTCCCCCATCATCTATGAGATAATTTCTATCATATTACAAGCATGCTCTTATTTCTTCTATTAAAACACACACACACACACACACACACACACACACACACACACACACAGGAAAACAGTAAAGAGCAAAATAACTTCGAGATAGATTTTTCCTCTAGCTATTACCTGATTTCACTGCTTGCTTGTGTGGTAATTCCAAGTAACAATAGTTTTACCTGTATGTTCTGTCTCCAACTGCTCTCCTTTCAATCTCTTTTGATCCTACTGTGGGGTCTCTACCCTGGTTTTTCCACTAAAATTGTTCTTATCAAAGTCATCAATGACCTTCATATTGCTAAACTCAAATGCCATTATTTAGTCCTTACCTCACTTGATTTAGAACTCATTTTATTTGACATGTTGATAGACTTTATATACTTCCTTCACTTGGTTTCCAGTGTTACTGTAGGCAGTCAGGCAGACATAAGCAGGACGGTAAAGACCCCCTCCCTACAACCCCTCAACCAGGAATGTCCAGCAACTATCAGGTGATGGTCAGGTGGTTGTTAAACTGTCTAAAATAATTGGTCACACCTGGTGCCAGGAAAAGGCAGTCTCCCAGTAGATAGACATGCCTGAAACTGGTCATCAGCAGCTTCCCAATAAGATTCAGGAGTCAGGCAAGCGGGCTCAAGCATACACACTAAGAAGCAAAATAGTGGAGTTAACTGGTGGCATATGACCTTCTTCAGGAGCACATGACTGCTAAGGGAAGAATGCCTCAAGTGAGCACGTGTACAACTTCAGTAAGCACACTGTGCATGCAGCCCCTCCCAAGTGCTGATAGGTCACTGGGCATGCAGACAGCCCACCCCAAGGGAAGAATCAGAGAGGGGATGCAACCCCACAGAAGCATGCCAACGAATAAAACACCAAGTCAAAGGTTAAACCATGCACTTGAATCTCAAGTCACCCACTTGGCCCAATTCCCAGTGTACTCTCCTTCCTTTTATTCCTGTAATAAAACTTTTTGGCAAACTTTCATTCTTGTTCTAAAACTTGTCTAGGTCTTTCTCTGTCTTATGCTCCTTGGTCAAATTCTTTATTCTGAGGAGGCAAGAACTGAAGTTGCTGCAAACACATATGGATTCACCACTGTTAACATCAGGACACTAAATTTGCCTGTTTTTATCCTGTCATTCTCACTGCCCTTTCTCTATCCACGTTGCCAGTTCCTCCTCATCTCTCTACTTCTAAAAATTAGAGTACCCGAAGGCTCAGTTCTAGGAAATTTTTTTCTATCTATACCCATTCACTAAGTGTTTTCATACAGTCTCAGAGCTTTAAATGTCATGGACTTCCATGATAAACGTTCCCAGGATTTTACCACCAGCCCCAAAATCCAGGCTGGTCTATACATCAGCCTATTTGACATCTCCAACTGAATGTCTAATAAGCATCTCAACAGGAACTCTTTAAAATGAATTGTTTATGAAACTCATATTGGAGGAAAAAATGTGCCCTTGATAATACTCAATTCCAAACTTGCCTCTCCTGTAGTCTTCCTCTCTAGTAATATATTCTCCCAACTGCTTGGACCAAAAGCCTTGGTATCATCCTTGGGTCTTCTTTTTTCTCCCTCATCCCATATCTAGTCCATCAATACATGACTATCTTCACCTTTAAAAACCATTAAAATTCAAACTCTTCTTATCCCTTATCTATCCTAGACCAAAGCCACTGTCATCTTCTGCTTGGAATACTTCAATCATCTTCTAAGTGGTCTCATTGCTTTTGCTCTTACCTAATTCAGACTACTCTTAACCTAGTAGTCAGAGTGATCCTGTTAAAACACAAATCAGGACTTGTCACTTTTCTGCTCAGAATCCTACAATACAGTCATGTATTGAGTAATGACATTTTAATCAACTATGGACTGCCATTAATTGTGGACTAATTAGTCCACAACTGCATACATTTTTCAACTTTATTATAATGTTATGGGAAAACCATATATACAACAGTGTTCCCATAAGATTATAACAGAGTTGAAAAATTCCTTTCACCTAGTGATATTGTAACTGTCTTATGACAGTAAATGTAAAGCATTACTCATGTGTTATGCGGTGATGTCAGTTGTAAACAAATCTACTGTGCTGCCAGCAGTATAAAAGTATAGCATATACAATTATGTACAGTATATAATACTTGATAATAATAAATGACTGTGTTACTGGTATACATATTTACTATACTTCTTATCATTATTTTAGAGTGTACGTCTTCTACTTAATATTTTTTTTAAAGTTAACTGTAAAACAACCACAGGTAGGCCCTTCAGGAAGTATTCCCGAAGATGGCATTACTGTCATAGGAAATGACAATTCCATATGTGTAACCGCCCCTGAAGACCTTCTAGTTGTGACTCGCCCAGACCAACTTCCAGTTCTGTAAGCTTCATTCATGGTAAGTGCCCTATACAAGAGTGCCTTCTTTTTGTCTTTAATCTTGTATACCATATTTTTACTGAACCTTTTCTATATTTAGATATGTTTAGATACACAAATACCATTGTATTAAAATTGACTACAGTATTCAGTAACATGCTACACAGGTTTACTACTGAGGAGCAATAGGTTACACCATATAGCCTAGGTGTGTAGAAGGCTATACCATCAAGGTTTGTGTAAGTATACTTTATGGTGTTTGCACAATGGCAAAATCACCTAACAATACCTTTCTCAAAACACATCCCTGGTGTTAAGTGATGCATGACTGTAATTCCCTGCAATAGTTTTACCCAGAATAAGAAACTATACATCCACGAAATATGACTTACAAGGCTTTACATGACATGGCCCCTGTTACCTCTCTCACTTGTCTCTACTATTCTTCTCCCTTTATTCTACTTGAGCCACGCTGCCCTCCTCACTATTTTGTAAAAAACTTATTCTTCTCCATGTAGAATGCTCTTCTCATGTATCTCTTCCTTTTTTAGTTTTTAACTGAGAAATCAATCACCTTCTCAGCATAATTTTCCCTGGCTAACCCGTATTTATGTAATTTAATCCTCCCCAAATGCTTCATAGCCCCTATTCTCTGTTAAATTTTTTTGTGTTTATCATTTATCATTATCTAATATATTTTGTTTTATTTATAGAAAGGTCTATAGGACAGGAATCTTTTTTCATTGCTATTTTCTTTTGTACCAGTGCCTACAACAGTACATCAGACATACTAGGTTAAAAAATATTACTGAATGAATAAATGCACCAAATTGAATGAACTCGGGCTTCCAATATAAATTGAGAATGACAATAACATATATTCATTTGCCCGAAATCTAGAAAGCTGAGTATAACTGGTCATTTCTCTGGCTCTCTCATTTCTCACTGATGCTTATTATGTTCTCCAGGCTCTATCTTCTCACTAGATGGAATCCACTCACTTCTCTCCATCTTCACCATCACCACTTGAGGCCCACACCTCATCTCTTGCAGCTGCTCCTCCCAGTTCACTCTCCACAGAGTAGCAAGAGTGGTTATTAAAAAATGTAAATATAATCATGTCACTTTCCTTCCATGACATGAGGATAACGTGCAAATGCCCTGTACTCTGTCATATTTTGCCTCTATTTTACTTTCCAGCCTCACTTCTCACCACTCCCATCTTTCTATTTATGGTTCAGTCACAGTAAACAACTTTCATTTTCTGAATGTGGCATGTCCCCCTTTTCCTTTAGATTTTAGCACATTCTGCCTGGACACTCCTTCCCAGCTACTTCTTTCTTACGAATTATATCTCAGCTTAGAAGTGTTTTTTGTTTTGTTTTGTTTTATTTTGGTAGAGACAGGGGTTCACTAGGTTGCCTAGGCTGAACTTGAACTCTGGGCTCAATTGAGCCTCCCGCCTCAGCCTTCTTAACCAGCTCAGACTACAGGTATGTGTGCCATCATACCCAGCTAGAAGTAATTTTTTTCAGAGAGCCTAGATGTACTAAAGTTATCTTTTGAGCCCTCCCTATATGTGCTCCTATACTTATCATCCCATTCGCTTTTCTATCATGCTGTATTATAATTTTCCATTTGCCAATCTTGACTTTGGTCTCCTTTAGTCTAGGATATGTTTATTGCCTATGTATCTCCAATGCTTATATAACAGGTACTCAATAATTACTGTATAGTAAGTAATGTGATTCTTACCTTTCTCTCCTGTTTTTTTCCAATTTGTCTTTTAAAATCATAATTTCTTTGTTGAGAGCAAGTTGCTGACCTTCTGAATCATGCAGTTCTTTCTTAAGATTTTTTATTTCATTTGCATGTATTCCTTCTCTTTTAGATAATTCTTCTTCATAAAAAATACTTTTCTTTTCCAAATCAGTCTTTAGTTTGGTTATCTCTTGCTGATGTTCTATGCTGCATACTCCTGGTGAGTAACTAATTTGTTTTTGCTATAAAAGTAATAACAAAAGACTAGTTCAGCTACAAGAATAACAAAATTTCAAATAACTTCTTCCTATGAGTATTTATATAACTGTATTTTTTTGTACATCCTAATAAAAATTAAATTCTATATTAAGTCTACCAACTTTTTGTTTGACATATATTGCAAATATTTTTCTCAGTTTACATTCCTTAATAGTCTGTCTTTGTTATTATTTTTTAAAAGTCTTCTTCACACAAAGATTAAATATTTATTCATATTTTTGGCTGGGACTTACATGATTTCTTGCTTTACATTTAAATTTCTAATTTATTTAGAATTATTGTTGGTGTATGGAGTGAGAGAAAAATTTAACTGCATCCTAAATCTGATGAAGAACTGATCAAAAGTTTTAAGCACATCTGTGTCTCAAAAAAATTAAAATGGGCAAAGAAGTGGTAGAGTAAAATGTACAAAAATAAAGACAGAAAGCTTTTGCAATAGTCCCATGAGAAAGGTCACAGGTCTAAACTAACATATCCTTCGTGTCTACACTAGAAAAAAAATGGTAGTTCTCCTCACTTTTAGGTAAGATAAAGAAGGAGAAGAAACTGTGTTGAAATCTACCTTTTTAGAAATAAGGCTGAAATATCCTCTCAGTAATAAGAAAGAAAAGAAAATACAAAGTCCAAAGATTCTTCCAGGTACTGCCTAAAGGGTAAACAGAAAATACAGACTACAGATTATGACCATAAGATTTCCTAAGCTTTGTAATTTTCCAAAGGTCGTTAATTTGTTATACCTTATCTGTCTCCTCAGCTGCAATAAAACTTTTAAAATAAAAAGAACCTATGCACTTAGATTTAGGAACAACAAAAAATCAAGATCTGAAGGTCACTGTATTCTTCTTTGAAGTCAGTCACAAAAGCACTAAAACTGGTAAGAGTAGTTGACTTAAAGTAGAAGGAAAAATACCCTGACTCCTTCATATTTGAAATATATAATTTAAAAAGAGCAAAGGAAATATGTGGACCAGAGAAACAGGCCTGGCGCATCCACTGCAATATTCACCATTTGTTGAAAAAATACTTTACATGTGCCAAATCTAGATTGTCCAGTGGTTTATGAGGCAGCCTATAACATGCAAAAGTCTGCTTAACTTGAGAAGAACTAGAGCAAGGCAGATTCTTGCTCTTGAGCATTGCTATGAAAATGATGACTAAATTGACATCTGTGGCACTGACCACTGACCACTGACCCGTACTATTCTTACACTTTTCTAATCACCTAAAGAAACAAACACTTTTAGTTTGATGTTCTGTTTATTGTGACTGTTGGAATGGCAGCAGCATGTACGGCAAGTGTCAAGAAAAAAAATTCCCCTGAAATCAAAACCTAACAAAGATACCATCAATTCTGGTTATAGATGCATATCACTTATTGATTAAGAATGTGAAAAGCCAAATAGAACACAAATGATATTAAACCATCTGTAAAAAAGAAAAACCTACCGAAATAATAGGTTTTATTTAATTACTGAAGATAATTAAATGTCAGCAAACTTATTAATAAATGTCACAAAATTAATTATTTTGATAGATTAAACTTAAAAATCCAAATGATAATCTCACTATGTACCCTTCCCTAAGAGCATTTTATAAAACCCAGTAATAATTCCAAATACTACCCTCAATCCCACAATAAAACTATTACATAAAAAATAACAGTAATTCTTTTAATTTAAAAATATCCATTTTGAGCTATCAAAATACTACTTATATTGAAACATCAGAGATACATTGAGTAAATTCAGAAATACCAACAAAAAGGATATCTTCCATTATCACTCTCATGCAACACTCATTTCAGACCAACATGTAAAATAGTCTCTCTGACCAATGTGTAAAACAGCTAAAAGAAATGAATACTGTAAAGAAAAATAACATCTTTATCATTTCTATTTAATTGTTCACCCAGAAAATACAAATCAATCTATTGAAATGTGTTAGAATTGGTAGAGTGGAGTAAAGCAATAGCCTGTAAGATAAACACAAATCAATACTTCCAGATATTAAAATAAGCAATATACCTGACAAAAAATTTCAGTTAACTGCAGAGTAATAGTGAGAAATTTCTCTGATTTATATGAAAAACCTAAAAGTCTTGAAAAAAGACACAAAATAAGATGAAACAATATAGAAAAAGACAAAATATTTAAGAGGGAAGATTAAATGTATATATATTCAATTATTTTCAAGTTATCTTCCACGTAAGTCTAACTGAAAGTTCTTTTTAAATGTGGGGATAGAAGGGCATGGCCACATGTTTCTACGCTGTGGACAAGAATAAACTGGTAAAAATATCAAAGAAAATACCAAGGAGTGCATGGGAAAATATACTTTTCAAATAATAGAACATACTATAACACTTTACTAAATTATGACTGTGATACATCTGTTCTCTGAAATAATTTAATTCAATATAAGAAACATCTTCAGTCACTGGGTAAGGTAATGATTAATAAATGAAAATAGAATTACCAGCTAGCAATGAAATAATAAAAATGAATCTCATGTCATACCATCTAGCAAAACAAACTCCAAATAGATTAAACAGTTAATTATTTTTAAACCCAACAAACATCCAAAAGAAAGCAGAATTAAATACTTATCAAAATTTTGAGAGAAGGACAAGCCAACCTTTGAAGTGCTAAAAGAAACACTGAGAAAAACCAACAAATCTTTTATAATTTTAAAAAGAAACAAGAACAAAATTAAGAGATATGTGATAAATTGGTTAAATCATTGCTGAAAATACTTTAAAAAGTAAAATTTTTACTATGCAGGGTTTTATGAATTAGTAAGAAAAACATTAAGACTGCTAAATTAAATGAGCAAATAAAGAGAATTTATAAACAGAAAATATGATTAATAAACAATCCTCTAATAAACCAATAAATTAAAAGTTACAACTTTTCTGGCCTCTCATATTTGCAAAGATTTGTGGGATTTATCACATAAATTAGCCTTAAAATAATTGCTAACTTTGTTTCTAGGAGCCTGTTCTAAGAAAATGATACAGAAAAATCAATGCATTAATGTGTTTTTTTGCAATTATAATACAGCAAAAAATATTTTAAGGTAACAACAGAAAATAGGCTATGTGGATGGTCTTAAGGTATTTATAATCACTAGAATTATGTTACTAGGTATGTGAAAATTCTTCCTGAACTATTTAAAATCATTAAACTTTTATTTGTGACAGTTTGGTAATGAAATAAAAATGCTTATTACACTATTAAGTGAAAAATACAAGTGTATGGGTTGAACTGTGTTACCCCCAAATTCATATGCTGAAGCTTTAACCACCAGTATGTCAGAATGTTTAAGAGGTAATCAAATTAAAATAATAAGGCACATCCCTAATTTATTAAGACTGTGTCCTTATAAAAGAAGAAATCTAGACACAGACACACAGGGAGAACTCCATGTGATCATGAAAGCAGAGACCAAGGTGATGTATCTTACAAGCCAAGCAATGCCAAAGATTGCCAGCACACCACTGGAAGCCAATCCTATCAATATCTTGATTTTGAACTTCTAGCCTCCAGAACTGAGACAACACATTTTTCTGTTTTAAGCCACTCAGTGTTTGATACTTTGCAACAGCATCCCCAACAAACTAACATAATTGGAGGGAAAAATACCTCTAATCGCATCATGGCATCATATATAACAATTTAAAATGTTTCTTTAAAAATTGTTTTTATTGAAATGTAATTCACATGCCATACAAATCACTCATTTAAAAGTGCAAAATTCAATTATTTTGGTATACTTAATAGTTTTTAAGCGGTAAAAAAATACAACAAAATTTTCCATTTTAACCATTTTACAATTCAATGGCATTAATTACATCTGCAATGTAATTATACCACCAATATTTATTTCCAAAAGTGTTTCATCATTCCAACAAAAAATTATGTAACCGTTAAGAATTAAATTTCTGTTCCCCACTCCACCGAAACCCTGGTAACCTCTATTCTACTTTGCAGCTATCAAATTTTTTATTTTCTTCTTGAGACAGGGTCTCACTCTGTTATCCAGGCTGGAGTGTAGTGGCACAATCATGACTCACTGCAGCCTCAACCTCCTGGCCTAAAATTCTGTGCCTCCTGAGTAGCAGGGACTACAGGCATCTACCACCATGCCCAGCTAATTTCTTAATTTTCTGTAGAGACAGGGTCTCACTCTTTTGCCCAGGCTGGTTTTGAACTCCTGGGCTCAAGTAATCCTCCTGCCTCAGCCTCCCAGAATGCTAAGATTACAGTCATGAGCCACTGCATTGGGCCTGAATTTGCCTATTCTAAATAATTCATATAATGAAATCATACAGCAAATGTTCTGTTATGCCTGGCTTCTTTCACTTAGCACAATTTTGAGAGTCAACCACATTGCAGCATGTATCATAACTTCACTCCTTTTTATATATGAATGATACTCCACTGTATTTATATATCATATTTTCTTTATCCATCTTTTGATAAACACTTGGATTGTTTCCACCTTTTGGCTACTGTAGTAATACTTCAATGTATGCTGCTGTAAAGTATCTATTAGAGTCCCTATGTTCAAATATTTTGGGTATATACTTAGGAGTTGAATGGCTAGATCATGTGGTACTTCTGTTTTTGCCTTTTTGAGGAACCACCGCATTGCTTTCAGAAGTGGCTGCATTCGAATAATAGACAGAGAGAGCCACATCATGAGTGAACTCCATTCACAATTGCTACAAAGAGAATAAATACCTAAGTACACAACTAACAAGGGATGTGAAGGACCTCTTCAAGGAGAATTACAAACCACTACTTAAGGAAATAAGAGAGGACACAAACTGATGGAAAAACATTCCATGCTCATGGTTAGGAATAATCAATATCATGAAAATGGCCATACTGTCCAAAGTAATTTACAGATTCAATGCTGTCTCCATCAAGCTACCAACGACCTTCTTCACAGAACTGGAAAA